CCCTCGATCGTGTGAGCGAAGGGCTGCACGTATTTTGGGCGCAGGAATTTTCCGTCTTTCTTGGGCTTGTGGGTCACGTAATCGTGGATGACGCCGTCCAAAATTGTCTTTCGGTTCAGCCCCAGTTTGCACGAGCGGGCGCCGTCAGCGCGCAGAAAAAACTTGCGCCCCTTCTGCCATTTTTTCGCCGTGGGGAGCCAATCGGATTTCTTGATAGGTCCCGGACCAGGAGCCCTCCTGCTCGTAAATTTGCACTTCGTTCGGAAAACATACTACGCTGCTATGCCGGCCCATTGGAGCGATTCGAGTTTCTCCTTGGCGCTATCGGCGACGAACTCCTAGTCGACCTCGTCCGCCTCGACGACGCGCCACTCTTTCTAAACATTAATCCTTCGAGCTGCGCGCGAGTGCTAATGTAACGCAACTAGACGATGCGTATCAGGCAAGGCTTTCTCCGAGTATACGTTATAAGCTGAAGGCGCAAGCAAATCGCACGCAAAGGCGTGAGACCCTCGGGGATAACAATAACAGTTTAACCGTTTGCAATCTCTTTCAAGGGGCGTAGTCGGTAAACGAGAATGTGGACGCATACGTTGCACACGCGCGTCGCGGCCATTGTTGCAAGCGCAAGCAGAGAGAGACGAAGGCGATCACGGGGGCGTCCAAAAATGGATGCCCCTGCCAGCTCGTCGAAGCTCCCTCTTCGAACCGATAACTAGCACGTGCTCAGCAAAAGCGCGAAGGATTTCCCCTAGTATACATTATAAGTTACAAGATGAAAACGCAATCAAATGACCCGAAAGGCGCAAGACCCCCGGGAATAACAACAACCGGTTGACAATTTGCAATCACTTTCAATGGGCGTAGTCGAGGAACGTACATGTAGATGCATGCGTTGCATACGCGCGTCGCTGCCACTGTTGCAAGCGCAAGCAGAAAGCGGCGAAGGCGATCACGGGGGCATCCAAAAATGGATGCCCCTGCTAGCTCGTTGAACCTCCCTTTTTTCAAACCGCTAGCTAACGACGCACGTTACGCAAAACCACGAAGTACGCGAAGAGCGGGCGACGGCCAGCCTCCAAACGCGGATGCCTCTGCTGCCTCGCCCAAACTCGCGCTCAAAACCACAGTCAACACCGCGCGTCAAGCGAAAGCGCGGGTTACGCGTAGAGCGGGTGAGGGGGGTATCCAAAACATGGATGCCCCAAACCATGTCAGGGACCCGCGTGAAGTTTGCGCCCCTGACTCTTAAAACCGTCGCCCCATATTGATGCGCGCACCACCCTGCATGGAAGGAGATGGCGGACTCATGTCGGGTCGCGAAATGTTCGCAGTACTACAGTTTCTACTTATTCATACTCTGGCGCCCTCGCTAACAGACAGACAGCGCCAAACCAAAATGCAGAATGCGCTGGCCGATTCAGGGCGCGCGTACGCCATGTAAGAAATTCCTTACGCCAGTAAAACAAAGGCTGCTCGCTTTCACCCAAAGTGTTTCTAACGGCAGTAACCCCACGCGCAGAATGCTCAACGAATGCGCCGAGTTTCCCTCTTTGAACGACCATAAAACAATCCCTCAAGGGGTGCGTCCGCCGTGATCAAATTCCTTAGGACAATGACATTGACGGCGATGTGCTTCACTCGATGAGGTTGTCAAGGTAGGAATGCACCCAACCTCAAAACAACAAGAAAACATACTTGCCTGTTTTGAATCACGAATCACAAAAGAAACCCTGTAGGGGTGCGTCCGCCAGGGCTCAAATTCTCTAAGAAGACTAATAATTCGATAGCAGGGTTGATTTTCCGATACGTCTCTCATTGCAAGCATCCCACGCCAGACAACAAACGTTGAGCAGAATTCCCTCCTTTTCACGGCGGTAGAACAACAGAAACCCGTCAAGGGTGCGTCCGGGCCGCCGGAAAATCGATTCTTCTGTAATGCCGCAACAAAAGGAAATCTTGTGTCAAGCCGCCCCAGCAGGAATTGTTTGTATGGCCTCGCAGAAGCGATCCTTTTGTAAGGCAGCCGCAAAAGAAATCCCTTAGTAGGGCCGCCACAAAAAAAAACCTTTTGTAATGCCGCCACAAAAGGAATCCTTGTGTAAGGCCGCCACAAAAGGAATCCTTATGTAAGGTCGCCACACAAGGGATCCCTTTGTAAGGGCGCTAATCGTTTTTCTCGAACCAGCAGCGGAAAACCAGGAAAACTATGAAAAACAAGGAACACACGGAGAACACAACGAAAAACATGGAAACACATAAACAAATGTGAAGACAACACCAAAAAACAATGACAACACTATGTGGTCATTGCTTGTTGCGGTGTTTTCATCAGTTTTCGGTGGCTTTCATTGTTTTTGGCTGTGGTTCCACCTTTTGTTATTGTTTTTGTTTGTGTTTCGCTGTGTGTTCCGTGTTTTCCTTGTTTTTCCTTGCTTCCCTGGTTTTCTGCTGCTGGCTCCAAACAATTTGCGCCCTTACAAAAAGGATTCCTTTCGTGGCGGCCTTACAAAAGGATTCCTCTTTCCACTGGCCTTACAAAGGAATTTCTTGTGTGGCGGCCCTACAAAAAAAAAGATTCCTTCTGTGGCGGGCCTACAAAGGAATTTCTTGTGTGGCGGCCTTACAAAAAAGGTTCCCTTTTTGTCAAGGCCGCCACAAAAAAGGAATCCCTTCGTAAGGGCGTTATTTTTTCTGGAGCCAGCAGCGGACGACCAGGAAAACAATGAAAAACTAGGAACACAAGGAACACACAGCGAAACGCAATGACAAAACAGAAACGTATGGCCAAAACGCAACCATAAACAATCAACGCACTGTGATGTCATTGCTTGTTGCTGTGTTGTCACTAGTTTTCTTTGGCTGTCATTGCTTTTGGCTGCGGTTTCGCTATGTGTTTTCTGTGTTTCCTTCCTTTTCGCGGTGTTTTCCTTGTTTCCCTTGATGTTCATTGTTTTCCTGGTTTTCCGCTGCTGGCTCGAAAAAATGATTCGCGCCCTTACAAAGGGATGCATTTTGTTGCGGCCTTACAAAAAGATTCCTTTTTCTAGTGGCCTTACAAAGGGGGCGGCCCTACAAAGGATTTGTGTTGTGGCGGCCTTACAAAAGGTTCCCTTTTGTGGCGGCAATACAACAAGGATTCCTCTTGTGGCGCCCATATGAAAGTACTCCTTTTGTGGCGCCGGTCGACAAGGATTCCTTTTGTGGTGCTCTTACAACATGATTCGCGATGTATCGGCGTTACGAAGAAATTCGACAAAAGGGGCGTGCCGAAGAACATCCTCAAGATAAAACAACAAAGACGCGTTGGAAATCTTGGTGGAAGACCTCACCATATACACATATATATATATATATGTATGTGTGTGTGTGTGTGAAGTGCCGCGGGCATCTACCTCGATCGAGAAGAAGAAGAGGAGAAGGGCGAGGAGGAGGAAGAGGAGGAGGTAGAGAACCAACAAATAAAGAAGATTTCGTCGTCGCCGCCGCTGTCCCGCACATTTTCGTGATCCTTCGACCACCGCCGATGCATCTAATCGAATTCAGCCTCCAGGAACCGTTTTCGGTGCCGGGGGCCACCGCCGAAAATCTGGGATGAGGATCGACCTCCCTGGCAGGTGCCATCCCTTCGCAAACGAAGGAACACGGGGTGGATCGAGGCTCGAGGCATGAGACTCCTAATTCTTGGGCGCTCTCCGCCCAAATGGGCCTTCAGGAAGCTCTTCGTCGACACAGCTGGGTCCACTCTCGAACTTCTGGCCGGACGCAACCCCAGCTGGGTCTCAACGATCCCCGAGCCAATCCAGGAGGTGGAAAAGGAGGCCTGGGACAGGCCCCGTGAAGGCCCCAAGAAACTCACATAAGACCACGAACAACTTCAAAACAATCCCATACAAGGCCCCCCGTTGAACCCCACACGCTACGTCGGACAGGCCGAAACCGCAAGATTTCCCAGCGATCGCGCACGCTGCGAATTCTGTCTTTCAAGGGGTCGGCGGTGCGGCGTAAGCCAATGAATCATACAAGGATACATCAGACGACCCTGTCGGCGTCTGTGAAGAGCTTTTCCGTTTGCCCCATCAAGCGTTCCAGTCAAAGACCACTTCAACAACGTCGCAATCGAGTACACGGGAAGTCCCTTCCTTGTGATTCCTCCCCCGCGGAAAAGGGGTGTCTGGGGGGTCCGGGGAGGGATTCCGGAGGGTGGGGTCCGAGGGGGGTGTCTGGAGGGAGGGTCCCGCGAGGTGGGTGGTCGGGGAGGGTGGTGGTCCCGGGGGTTGTGACCCCTCCCTCCCCCCAGGGGGTGAGCACGCCTCACTGGGAGAAGCTTTCGGCTTCAGAGCGTTTGTCGTCGTCGTCGTCGTCGTCGTCGTCGTCGTCGTCGTCCCCCTTCAGGGTCGGCGGCACCGGCCACAAGGCCTTCGCAATCCTTAAAATCTGGCGACTCTGGAGGATGTTACTGGGCTCCGCGGCCTTCGCAGAGCGGTCTGAATTGGGCGTCGATCAGTGGTGGGGCGAAATACATGAAATTTGCGAAAAAGGTGCATTTCTCGTGCCCTAATGGCCCCAGCTTGGGCCCTCAAGGGCCCCATAAAAAGTCCGAAAGGGCGCCTTTTCTGCAACCCTCGCTGCCCCTCCCTTGCGCGGCGCCCAACTGGCGTGGTCTGGGAGCTTCCGGGACGCTCTGGAACGATTTTGTTGTTTCGCCCCCCTCTCCCTTTCTCGTCGTCTTAGGTCGCAAAGGCTGGCATCCAGAGTGCTTCAAAACTCCCAGCCGAGACAGCGGCCGCGGCAGCGCTACTTTCCTTGCGCATGCACCTCCGATGTGCATGGCATCTCTCTCTCTCTCTCTCTCTCTCTCTCTTTCTCTCCCTAGAGCGGCACTTCCCCGCCTCCCCCGTCACTCCCCTTCTTCCAGCGGGGGGAGGAGGACGAGGAGGACGATGAGGAGGAGGAGGAGGAACAGGAGGAGGGGGGAAGGGAGGGAGTTGGTAGACTTTCCAGCGACAGGCATGACTAGACTGGGTAAAGCGATTAATAGTGCAAGCCTGTCAAGGCGAGTGGACACAACATTTAACAGTGCAAGCATGCCAAGGCAGATCTATCTCTGGATGCGCGCACATGCTGCCAAGATCTGATCTGGGCGATCTGCCTATCTCGTCCCTCCCCGTTCCCATACTAGAGGCCCCCAGCAACCATCAATCCCTCAGTGTAAGCACTGATTCGGGGAACCAGTCTTCTCCAAAGAGCTCCCAGCGCTCACAGCTTGCCCTTGCTCTTGCGTTTCATCATGCCCTTCGACCAGGAATCGTAGGGATCGTAGCCCCAGCCGCCCCAAGACCAGGCATCCCAGACCCAGGAGTCCTTGCCTTTGCCCCTGCCCTTGCCCTTGGCGTTCCTGTTGGTGCCGTCGGCGTCGCAGCCTCCTGCGAATTGGCCCTCACCGTCGCGCTGGCGGGCCTGCTTGCCCTCCTCCAGCGGGAACACCGTCGCGATCGCGATCTCGCCAGAAGAGGGAGAGGATGGCCCAGAACTGCTCCAACTCCATCGTGGGCGGCAAATTGCCGATCCACACATTCGTGTCGGGGGCGCTCTGCCTCATCGGCTTCTCTTCACCCCTGATGCCAATCGATCGAGCCGGCCAGTCTGGGCACCCCGAGCGTCGCTTGTGTGTGTGTGTGAGTGAGAGGCTGGGGCGGAGCCGCCTGGGGCCAGATGGGCTTACGTAAACCAAAACGGCTACGGATGGGGGGAGAGGTCGTGATTTTGTTAAGCATTTTGCTCTTTCTGAACTTCGGGAGGCCCCTACTAGCTTCTCGAAACCTCGGCGCGCATCCGGAGGCACTGTTCCTCCTCCTTCGCCTCCTCCTCCGCCTCCTCCTCCTCCTCGTCGTCATCATCGTCATCAGCATCATCATCAGCAGCAGCACCATCATCATCATCATCGCCATAATCATCGTCATCACCATCATCATCATCATCATCATCTTCATCATCATCATCATCATCATCATCATCATCATCGTCATCATCATCATCATCATCATCATCATCGTCGCCATCATCATCCACATTATCATCATCAGCAGCATCATCGTCATCACCATCATCATCGTCATCATGATCATGACCATGATCACAGCGTCAACATGATAATCATCATCATTAGCAGCATCATCACCACCGCCACCAACACCATTGTCATCATCATCATCAGCAGCAACATCGTCATCATCATGACCATCATCCTCATCCTGATCCTCATCCTCATCATCACCATCGTCATCATCATC